TTAAATGAATTAGCTTACTGCTCCTCATCTAGTATTGATTTCCAGTTTTGCACTGGTACATGGACTACCTTCCACTGTATTTGTTATTGTTTTAAAACGAACTAGTCTGAAGTATAAAACTTATTACACACTTCTCACTTTTTGGACAGTCTGATTTTAGTCTGGTTCTTGTCAGTCTCAAATTTGTTGAAAACACACTGATGTTTTGGTTGTTGCTAAGTCAGTCAAAGACTTTGCAGTTTCCCATGCTCTGCCAGTGAGCAGATGCACAAGAAGTTGGGAGGGAGCATAGCCAGGACAGCTGGCCGGAACTGGCCAAAGGGATATTCCATACCATAGAACATCATGCTCAGTGTATAAACTGGGGGAAGTTGGCACCAATTGCTGCTCGGGGACTAGCTGGGCATCAGTCAATGGGTGGCGAGCAATTGTATTGTGCATCACTTCTTTTTCCTGGGTTTTATTTCTCTCTGTCCTTTTCATTACTATTATTATTAATATTGTTATTTTTATCATTAATATTATTAGTATAATTTGCTTTGTTTCAATTCTAAAACTGTTCTTATCTCAATCCATGAGTTTTACTTTATTCTCCTCCCCATCCCACTGGGGTAGGGGAGAGAGTAAGTGAGCTGCTGCATGGTACTTCATTGCCAGCTGGGGTTAAACCACCACAAGTCTCGATGGCAAGACTTATGAGGAGCAGCTGAGGTCACTTGATATGTTCAGCTCGGAGAAGAGAAGGGGTAACTTCATTGAAGTCTGCAACTTCCTCAAGAAGGGCAGCAGAGGGGGAGGTGCTGATCTCCTCTCTCTGGTGACCAGCAATAGGGCATGAGGAAATGGAATAAAGCTGCATCAGGGGGAGTTCAGACTGAACATTAAGAAAAGGTTCTTCACTGAGAGGGAGGTTGGTCACTGAAACAGGCTCTCCAGGGAAGTGGTCATGGCATCAAGCCTGTCAGAGTTCAAGTGCCTGGACACTGCTCTTAGTCATATTGGCTTAGTTTTAGGTAGTTCTGCGAGGAGCAGGGAGTTGGTCTCAGTGATCCTTATAGGCCCCTTCCACATCAAGATATTCTATGATGTGTAAACTTGTTCTAGACAAGTAAACCTTAGCAAACAACTGTTTGCTCTTCTTCCCAGGGCTCATCTTTCTCCCTGGATGCTATCACTGCTCCACAGACTGTCGCCAACTGCTATGAGTGCAACTCACCTATTGGTTGTAACAGACTGCTCAGTGTTTCTAAACACCCTCTTTTCTCCATCACAAATCTGAACTCAGCACTGGATTAATTCAGGTTTCTTTATTTAGGGATATAGAGAATAACAAACATCATACTGTACCAGAAAACTGTGGTGGGTTTGTAATAAACTGCGTATACTTTGAAGAGATTTTGGTTAGGCTTAGTGAAACTTCAGGGCATTGATGTGTGACTTCCGTGTGTATTCCCATATAGCTGTTAGATGCCTCTAACAGCTGCCGTTTGTTTCCGAGGCTGATAATAAAGGGAGGCAACCTGGCGCCTAGAACTGTAATAAATCAACTACACTCTGTTAACACAACTAGCAGAACTCAGCCGACAAGCCCGAGGCACGGATGTGCTCCTCTAACAAGGAGTCAAACTGATATATGAGTACTGATAAGCCTAGAAAGGGAGGAAAATACCTACTAAATACGCATGTTCCAAGCACGAGGTCCTTTTGCGGACACAGAGGAAGACTAAAGCCTTCATCACAGAGACCTCAGCCCACAAATGGGACCCCGACCCACGCACGCCGAGAACACAGCCCGGGAACATGTATTGGGAAAAACCTCGGTACGGAGCATGTGCAGAAAACACAAGCCCCAGACTATGTATGAATAAGAACCTAAGCACTGCGCATGTCTAAAAACCTGAAGACGGGAGTCGGGAAAGGTACAAAAGGGAAGTTTGAGAACTTGGGGGCGGCGAGCCGTGAGGGAACTTTCTTCTGTTCTAAACGGCCCCCCAGCACACTGGATTGCTTATCTACCGCTTGCTAATAAATTCACTTATTATTGTAAATTGACCTCTTTAATTTATTTCAGGCGTCGCTGGTAACTGTTGCCTAAATGGTTGTGAGGAAAAAAGACTCCAAGCCAAATTAGGTAGGAGATAAGATAAGGATACAAAAGGTTTAATGAGCCCTCAGGCTTTCTGGAATAACCCCCAGCGCGCGCGCCCGCGCTCCCGAAATTGAGATGTTGACAGTTTTATAATGATTTTCGCCCAATCCCCGTCCTGCCACCACCCAGGTTCTGCCCCCCCCACGCCTCTTGGAAATTGGGTCTAGGGGCATTTTGGGACCCCCTCTTCTTCATCTTCATCTTCCTCAGAGCATGTAATGTCCTTGGAGGCCTTCCAGAACTCTAGGCCTGAAGGTTGTTGGGTCTATGTCTATATCTTCTTGCACAGGGTTAGGATGTTCTGCCTTGAAAAAGAGACCAAACATACTATGGAATTTAGGGAATTTATATGGGAATGGGTAACAGGGGTTTGAGCTGGTGTGTTAAGGGTAAAGGGTAATATTACTGCTACTCTAAAATCTACCTTTACTACATAAGTACTTCTAAGATCTACAAAAATTAAAAAAATCAAAACATCAAAACTCCAAGGTATCATAACCTATAACAGTCAACCTTGGCTGGCTTTCAGGTGCCCACCAGGACGCTCTCTAACTCCCTTGCCTGAGCAGAGCAGAGGAAGAAAATAAGAAAATAAGCTCGTGGGTTGAGGTAAGGACAGGGAGGTCATTTACCAATTATTTTCACAGGCAAAACAAGCAACAGTCTTAGATATACCAAGACCTTTTACATTATGAATGTCATTACAGGGTTAAATTTGTCAAGAAGGTATTTGGGGCAAGAAACTTCTGTGAGTGTTGTGGATTGACCATGGCCAGCACCCTGCCTTTTGCTCAGTCCCCTCTCCCAGGAAGGGGGAGAAAATAGAAGGAAGGCAAAAAGACTCAAGGATTGAGATAATGACTGTTTAGTAGGGAAAGCAAAAGCTGCAGAGCAAGCAAAGCAAAACAAGGAATTCATTCAGTACTTTCCATCGCCAGGCAGGTGTTTAGCCACTTCCTGGGAAGCAGGGCCTCAGCATGCATAATGGTTGCTTGGGAAGACAAACATCATAACCACAAATGTTCCTTCCTTCTTCCTTCTTTCCTTTAGATTTTATTGTTGAGAATGATGTCATATGGTATGGAATATTCCTTTGGTCAGTTTGAGTCAACTGTCTTGGCTATGTTCTCTCCCAACCTCTTGCCCATTCCCAGCCTACCCACTTGATGGTGGATGAGGGGGCATGGAGAAGAGAGAGAGAGTGAAAGCACTGTTTTAGCCACAAATGCAAAGCATAGTACCATA